CTAGCCTCTTCTCAAAAGCGTTGCATACTCGCATTACCAAATTTATTTATAACCCTTTTCTCTCGAATTGCAGTAAAAGCCGCTTATAATGATAATTCAAAATAGCGTTTATAAGTGTCAATATAACGAGCTTATCGCTATAAGTAAATATACATATTGAATGTTAACGTAGCAACATAAATGCCTGGAGTATGGAATATTTTTTTATGTTATTAATACACTGAATGTTGATTTCCCTCATATATATATATTTTTTTGTACACTTTTAAAACTTTAAGTTTTTGTGTTTTTGTACAGCAAAACATAAAGTTGAGCATCCAAAACAACGGTGGAGGGTCTTTTGATATTTTTCGAAAGAAATAGGAAGCTAAATATAAAAACTATTGCAATTTTTATTTAAAAATTGATGATAAAATTTAATTTCAATATAGGACACATGTGTAACATCCATAGAAGTATCAAGCAAGTGACTCCAAATGAAATTTAAGTCAGAAATTAGCAAGTCAGAAATTAGTCGAGAATTTCATTGCGGGTTTTCTCTTTTAGAGACACGAGAATGTCAATAAAAACTTTTTAATAGGAAGAGAAATTTTCTTAATTTATAATACGGTGTTCATGAATGCTAAAATATTAAAAAAGAAATTTAGAAAATCAATTGAAAATCGAAAGAAAACTATTGAAAATCTAAAGCAATCTTAAACTGAATATTTCGTGTGCAATGTCTCCATTAGAGCTTGGGAAAACTGGTTGTTCACCTTGGCATTTACCGCCGTATCTGCAAAGTGTTACATTAAGTGGGCAGTAAACACATTATCCAATACTTTCAGGCAATAAATGTCGTAAGTTTGTGGTCAGTCTTCTTGGAAAAACTGTTTTATGGCTTCCTGTTTATCAAATACAGGTATGGTGCATGCAGAATAGTTTTTCAGCGGCTATACCAACAGGAAGAAAATGTTTCCTCACGATCGAAGTAGATTTTGTGGGAATAATTGTTTACGTCGCACTCTGATCACTGAGAAAAATTGTCTGTCAAAACTACCAGAATATGGTAACATTTACCGTGTTACTGACTCTGGAACACCAGAAGGCTTGGTAATTATTACCCAAGTGTTTCGGTAATGGTTTAGGTAAAATAAACAACAAAATATTGTTTTATAGTATGTGGTACATTTCGTCAAATGTGGTAAAATTTGAATATTTTATCATGATACTTTAGAGCGTGGCATAAAAAGTACTTATTCGATAAAATATGGTAATCTTACTAAATGTATGATAATTAGGACTATACTTTTGAAAATCAAAATTTCCGGTAAACCACTACAATATGAACGGAAAAATGACAAAAAGAATAGTTTAAATACCGTGTATTTTGATTCCATTAACCAGAATTATTAATTAAAAGTGCTAATAAAAGCTACTATTGTTATATGTCCTGCGATAATGAGAACCTATTATGCCTATTTAGGTTTCTAATATAGGAAATATAGAACTGGCTTTTTACTGTACAAAACGGTTAAGTATTCTACTACACATCCCTGGCACCTTATATATAACATTTATTTTTTTTATTTTATGCATATTCCAGCGTGACTTTATTTAAATTAAATTTACCATAATATAAGTTCGAAGTTCAACTCACCAAAATTAACTATCTTTAACTGTGCGTATGTATCATTAAACCTATGATATTCAAAATTTCACACTATCTTCCCAAGACTTGCTTCAAGAATTGAAGTTATCCAAGTATGGATAACTTCAATTTTATTTCATTTAGTTCATGTTGAGTTTCCATTATTCATTACACACCTCAAGCGCTAAGTATCAATGTAAGAAACACGTGGTCCAGCATTCTATTTTAAATATAAATTAGCTGACGTCATCACCAAACATTGCGAAATTTTTAAGGTTGATTCTACGTGTAATAACCAGGTATATGAAATTTCTAAAGCTTGAGATAAAACTAATTTTTGATTGACTAGAGTTGCAGGCTGGCAAACCACCCATATTATTTAATCACTGTCGTTGAATAGCCGACCCAATTTTTGAGCTTACGATCACTAATGTTCAACTCCATTATCTTATAATTTTGAACCCAATCCAGAAGACAAGGGAACACCCGGATCAAGTGTTGAGAGAAATTACCATAGTGGAGGACTTTTAGATGGAACTAACTCGCATTTGCGTTATATGGAGAGGAAAACCACAAAACCCTGCCACGGTTGGTCTGATCGCGTGGGAACTCAATCCCGTAATTCGTCAATCACTGAGAATATTTTACGCCAGCAATGTGGTTGGTCCTAGCTGGGTGCGGAATTCGTATCGAGCAGTCATCGTTGGGATTCGAACCTGGGGCATCACCTAATTGGAAGGTAAGAGTTTTATCCACTGATCTATCACGACTTTAAAAACATTGATTGAACTTTGGACCACTGATGTAAATACAATCAAACCAACAGTAAAGCAAAACTTTTTATTTGGAATGTAGCACGCGAATTCGATATGGATCAATTAAAAATTGCAAATTGTATATGATATATGCAATTAAACCCCAACTGTGGGTTAATCAGTAAAGAAAAGCGTGCATCGATTAACATTGTTTTTCGGAAACTTTTTTTAATGCTTATACAAATTCACTTCAAATTTTATTACAGATTTAGAGTTTTAAATGAAAACCGTTCAATTACATATTTTTTTTAATTTTTTATAAATGACTTCAAAGTAAATTTGGTACAAAATTTTATATTTCAGTTAGATCTGTTTTCTTTGTTTTGTTTTTTTGAAAATTTATTTTCATATTTTTTTTTAACAAAATTAAAATGAAAAAAAAAAACATGTTTTGGCCTGAAATATTTTTAAGTATGTTTTTATGATCAAAATAATTAAATTTCTCATGCAGTATTCTAAATGTAAATGTCTACAATCATGAGAAGCAATAAATTTTGTTTCAAAATCAAGGATTTAGGATTAGTGTTTTTAATTGAGACATTGAATTTTCTTTAAAACATAAAAGGACAAGACGAATTAAGGTTTTCAGTCATTATTATTATATAAATAGAATAAATACAGACTAGAGTTTTATGGTTAAGAGTTTAGAGGGTAAGAAACGACACATNTTGTGCAGCTCTAGTGCGACGTAAATGAACAACAACAACAGCCATTATTATTACATAAATAGAATAAATAGAAACTAGAGTTTTATGGTTAAGAGTTTAGAGGGTAAGAAGCGACACATGATAAATTTTTAAATAATTTATTTAAATCATCTTAAACAATCTTTTTTCAAATCATTTTTTCCAAACATTTATTTATTTAAATAATTATATATTATATATTATGAAACTTTTTATGTATGTGCAAAATTGTGAATCTGACCAGGTTTTGGTTACACTAGCTTATTTCCGTTAGTATATATATTATCACAGTCTTATAGTCTTTTAACTAATCAAGGAAAATTTAGGATTCAATTTATAATAATTAATATTTAATAACTGCCGTGCAAAACATTGCCCCATTGTTTATTCATCGGAAGAAAAATATCACGAACGAGTAGAAAAAAGGATATCATTACGGTTGACTAAGTTAAGCGCTAAGCAAAATCTCACTATTATAACGTTAGAGAGGAAACAAGGTACCCAGAAATGATGGTAAATACAATTAGTTGGACACGTGGTGGCTCAGAGGATAAAGCGCTCGTCTCCCAATGAAGTTAACGGGTTCGAATCCTTCCGATGGCCGGTTGATACGAACTCCGCATCCATTTTGCATCCCCCACAGTGCTGACGCTAGACATCCTCAGTGGCAGACGGAGCATTGGATAGAGTTTCCTTGTCATCTGACTAACCGTGAGAGGTTTTTGTGGTTTTCCTCTCCATGTTACGCAAATGCAGGTTGGTTCATCAAAAAAAGTCCTTCACCAATTTCTCCCAATAATCGAACCAAGCAGTCCCTTGTCTTCTGGATTGGATTCAAAATTACAAGGTTACAGAGTTGAAGTTAATTTAGAAAAAAAGATGGGGGGGGGGGAAACAGCTACCAGAGTATTGGTAGTGGTAGTCGTATACTCAAAATTGAATCGACTGTTTGACGAAAAATTTACTATTAGTCATGATCTTTTTTATGCGATGTAAGAACGGTTTCATTTGTTTTCGAAATTCCCTACATTTTTATACTTTGCAGTATTTAAAATAATATTAAAGTTTGTTGTGGTAAAAGAAAATAGAAAAGAATTGACAATAAATTTTTCTTAAAAAGAAACAAAAAAGGATTGGCAAAAACTTTCTCTTAAAAAGAAAGAAAAAAAGGAATTGCGAGAGAAATATTTATGGCAAACTTTGTTTAACCTCTTTTGCTATTATAAAATTAAATTTGAAGTTTGGAGAAAATCGAATTCATATAAACCTTTAACGAAACCATGAAGTTTCAAATGCTGAAAACAATGAAAATAAATATCAAAATGTGAGCAAATCATTACAAGGTATCTTTCTCATTACGTAATCCGGTTATAACTTGATATTTTGAAAATATTTTTTTCAACGTTTGAAGCGTAATGGATTTCAACGTTTATTCCAGGTTTGGCAGCACTAACCCTGCCAACTCTTCCGGATTTTCCGGAAGATTTTATTTTCATATTTCAAGTGGTAGTAAATATATACTATTTTCTCTTTTATAAACTTAATTTTTAGATGATTTTGATCACCACTATTCTTACAAAAATGAAGCACATATATTAATATGCGTTACTATCATGGTTGTCAACTTAAGTTTTTTCAAATGCAATGTACTTGTTTGCTTAAAATTGAAGTTTTAATTCCATTTTAATACCACTGTGAAAAATAATAATGGAAGGGATTAAAAGTTGGCAGGTATGCTACCTTTTTCTAGACTTTAAATATTTAAATTACTTATCAGGTGATGGCTTTTTAGCTTTATTTATTACTTTCTACATTAACTTACGGCGCTATTTGCGCGATTGGCAGGTCTTTGAGTTGTGGTTAAAGAGTTTCCAGAATATTTAAGTGTAACGAATTGGGGCTGTCTTTGAGGGATGCTCCCTTTCCAAGAACATATCTGCATCCCCTGTTCCCCATCTCCTCCCATTTTACAAATAGTATGAGTGGACATGGACAATCGTTCGTCACGTGACTTGTTTCAGTTCTTTTTCCGACAGTTTTAAGTTCAGTTGCGCTTTCTTTATTATTGGACTAGTGCAGTTTAGTTAAGTTGACGGAATTAGTCACCTGTTTTTTATATTTCTTATCAAAGTAAGAATTGCTTGATATTTATTTATTTTTTGCTCATTATTTGAAATTTCAATTGTTTAATTTAAAATTTCGTTTGGCATTTAATAATTACCTAATCATTACTACTCTATTAATAATAATGCGATTAAAAAAATTCATTTGATTTTTTTCTTCATTATATTTAAAGGGTAAAATTCACTGTACTGTTTTACTAGTGTTTTGAATTTTTAAATATATGTATATTTATATAATTTTCATACCTATCAATGTATTTTAGCAATATATTTTTCTTTCATGATTGTGTTTATTATGATGGTTTATAAATGAAATTAAAAAAAAAAAAAAACATCTTCGTCTTAAGTTAAGCATTTTTCTAAGCATTAGACATTGGGAAAAGTTTTTTAAATATTTTGTTGCGGTAATTAAATATGAGTAATTCGATAGCTGAAAACTAAAAAATGTTTTTAGTCGATTTTAATAATTGTATAATTTTGAAAACTTAATTTAAAATATTTATTATTTTTTTATTTACTACATAAAAATTTTTCCAATTTTAGCAATGTATGTTTTTGATAGTAATATACATCGCTATTTTAATTTAATTTTCATAGCTAAATGCATAGATTTTGATTTAATTTAAAGCTTGATTTTGAACTTTTAAATAATTATTTGCGAAATTTATTTGCTCTCTTCATAGTTAGGTTAAAGTGAAACATTATTTATTTAGTTCGATTGGACATTTTTAATTTTTGATTTTTGAATATTAAACAATTTTCATAGATGAAATACGTGGTAGTAAAATTTTTTCGTAATCTGTTTATTGTGATATTTTCTTGTTATATGGAAGGAGAATTTTCAGTAAAAATTTTGACCTTTGAAAAAATATTTTTTTTAATTAATAACGTACAGTAACCATGATGTTTAATAAAAATATATAATTTTGCAATTTTAAATGATAAAGAAATTTTTCTTTTTTATGAACTATATAGTTTTCCTTTTAATAACAACGTATGCAATATTTTAAAATTAATTTGTTACGGTAGTTTAATGTTTTTAGGTCTATAGTAAGAATAGATAGTTTGCAAGATTCGCAAAATTAATTAAGATTTTTCTTTTTCAATTGAGTAATAAGAAAATAATTAAATTAAAAACCTGTTTTTTTTTGTATTTGTATTTTTAAATTGTTGTCATAGTTCAAAATGCAAAAATTCTTTTTCAAAATAATTTGGTATTTTTGATAGAAGAGTAAATAAATACAAATTTAGAAATATATATATATTTAAGTATTTAAATGAGTATTTAAGTATATTATTAAAATTAATTTGTCTGATAATAATGTGTTGTAACAATTTGTTTCTTTCTTTTTTGCTAAAAATTGTTTTTGATAATTCAATGCACGAAGTATTGAATGACTTATTCTGAGGATGCAGTTTTACCTTTCAAGTTTGCAAATTTCATTAATCGTTGCAGTTTTTGAAGTAGTACTATCAGTAAATTTTCAGGATGTATTATTAGCGATATTTCGAAGAAATATTTCAGAAAATGCTTTGATTTAAATTATTGTAATTACAAGTTGCGACAACCTTACTTTTTTGGGTTAATTTTAACTTTTTGAATAAAATTTTATTTTCATTGGATAATTTTACGGCGAAAAGAGTTTTTTTTTTCTTCTAAAATTTGTGCGTATAAGTAATGTTTTATCGTTTAAAACATGCATTCTTAAGCTTGCTAATTTGAAAGTAATAAAAGATCTTGAAATCTTAATTATATAAATTAGAAAAGTGTTATTCTATGCCGAAAAAAGCTTTTTTTTTAAAAAATTTGTATGTTTATGTAATTTTTTATCGTTAAAAACATGCATTCTTAATAGCATATCCTTATGTGTCTTCGATATTTCTTTTCAATGTATGAAGCTTGATTTTGAAATCTTAATTAGACAAATTAGGAAAGTGTTATTTTGCTACATAATATTACGAACGAAAAATTAATAAGGTCAGAAAACACTTCACTCTACGTTATTACTACTATTATTACTATTATAAATAATTATAACTTTTCTTATGCATATACTAATAAATAGTTAACTTCTAGTATATCTTAGTGTTTAAGATATTTTTATTCAACGTGGTCTTGTATTATTCAGTTGGAAACTTTAACATTAAAAGTATAGTAGACACATTTTCCTTCTTTTCAGCGAAGTGAGAAGGGATCACATTCCGTGAATAATTCCTTTTTACCGCAGTACTTAGAACTAAATCATCTAGAAAATCTTGTGGTTGGTGTAGGATTTCATTCAGGGTGATATCCTGCCTATTGATCCCTAATTTTCTTCTCTATGGGAGCCCTCTCAATTTACAAGAGTTTTATCTTATTACAATGCACAAGGGTTTATTAATCCATGTGGTTTCTTTTTTGAAAGTCACTTTCTCACACTCCAGGAAAATGCAGTACGGAAGTGCGCGAAAAACAGAAGTCAAATTTTAAATAAATGTTTGTTTTTTNTTTTTTTTTTTTTTTAAGTTCAGTCATTTTCTCACACTCCAGGAAAATGTTGCATCAAAAGTGCACGAAAAACAGAAATCAAATTTTAATGTATATGTTTTTTTTTTTAATATTTGTTCTTGTTTTTCAACGTCATTTTCTCACACTCCTCGAAAATGCCGTACGAAAGTGCGCAAAAAAAAATAAAAATAAAAAAAAAAAGAACAAATTTTAAATAAATGGTTGTTTTTTTTTCTTAATTGTTGGTAACTTGGAAACTGTTTGACCGATTACGCTCAAATTTTAAATTTTGCTATTTCAAAAATTGATGAACAAAATAATTAAAAATAATAATTGAATAACATGAATTTTTCCCATTCATGGAATTCTGCGGGAGCCCACTCATTTTACAAGAGTCTTATCTTACAATAGGCAAAGGTTTATTAATCAATGTTTTTTTTTTTTTTTTCAACTTTACTTTCTTGCACTCCACGAAAATGCCGTACCCACCAAGTGGACAAAAAACAAAAATCAAATTTTAAATATTTTTTTCTTTATTAAAAAAAAAACCGATTTACGATTTTCAAGTTTTGTATTTTGCCGTTTCGAAAATTTTTAAACAAAATGATTAAAAATAATAGCTAATAACTAAAAATTATTTTTCCTCGAATTTTTCTCTTAATAAAAGTATTTGATAATTGAATACAAAAATTTTACGCTTTGCTTAAAACTCCTTCAATTCCTCTGAATAAATGTATTTGATAATTGAGTTTCAAAAATTTTACGTTTTGCCTAAAACTCCTTCAGGATATGGTGAAATGGAAAATTTACATAAGTTGTTCAAACTTTCGACCTCCCTCCTCATATTTTTCAAATTGTGAGAAGATCAGGAATTCGAAATTGTAAAAAAGAAGTAAGTTTATTCAGAGAAAGTACACTGTTTTGTTTTATATTTCGCAACTTAAATTAGCATATTTGAAGTGAGGCCCGTAAACCATTAAGATACGAGAACCCGATCATTAGAACAAAAGTTATTCAAAGTAATTCTCTTTTATTTATTTATTTTATAATTTATTTATTTATTTTATAATTTATTTAATTATTTTCTGTTCTTTGTATACTAATTTGCTTTAATCAAATTAAATGTGTGAATCAGTGAAAGATAAATTTTTAATTTTAAACGTACAACTTTTCTTAAGATTACAATTTATATGTAATTAAAGCCTTCAAATGAGAAACGGTTTTATACTGTGATCATAATGTGAACTATCGCAATGCATCCGATCACAATGCTATTATTACAGTTTCATAATTTCTTTACATTTCAGTCTTATATGAACTATAATAAACTAAATTCAACTTCTTCAAAACTTTTTCCTTAATTCAACTGAAAATTATAGGGTATCTAAGTTGAATAAAAATTTCATAGTTTCTTTTTTTCCATTTGTCTTATGTATTTTCAAGAGTTTACAATAAGAAAACGAATTATAAAATAAATATTGTATTAAACAGTAATGTCAAATATTAAATTTTCTCTTACATTTTCAGTATTTCAAGCTGTCAAATAAATTGAAAAGCAGACCAGTAATACTATACAGATAATTAGAAGTGGAGAAAAATGCTTTTTAAGATGGTCTTGTCAAAACGAGGTATATAAAATTTCGTTTCTTTTACTATAATTTTTAAAACAATTCATATAATTTATTGTAAAACGTAAGTTAAGTTTGGTAACTGTAAAGTTATTTTATTCCTTATAAAGCGGAAATCCGTTAAATTATTCGAAAATGGGTAACTCTAATTCGAATGGGTTAATTCGAAAATGGGTAACTCTAATTAAGTCGGTTTTTTCTTACAGATTTTAAAAAAAAAATGCAGGAATAATTTATTAACTAACGTCACCTTCCTGCGTCGCATGGTTTAAACGGTTATCAACAAGCTAAACCTTCCTTTAAAATTTTAGAGACTTCCAGAACGAACTCAACTCTCAATAGGGTGGAGACTGGGAGGGACAGTTTAAGGAATATGATTTTAATTCATTTCAATTAATTTGAACAAATAGACTAATAGTGGATATTCAATATATTTGTCAATACCTTACGAAACATGTACATAAAATACAAAGCCGTCATCGAATTGCAACCTAATCGTACGTCATTCAATCTTGCGGTATTTTAGTTTTTTTATTCCTTTTTTACTGACAAAATTGTATCAGTACAATTCTACAATCGACAATTTTTGAAGGGTAGTTAAACAGAGTATATTTTTCTGTTTATAGATCTTTGATAAATGCTTTTGTTTTTTGCTTACGCTACGTTAAAATGATTTTTTTTAGTATCGGTTTTCATTAGTGTAAACTGCATGAAAATATAAATTTTAAAGAATATATAAACTTTCAAATGAGTAGTTTTAAAATACCATTTACTCAAAAACTCAAATCACATAATTTTCAAGGCTTCACAATTTTGAAAGGGGGGAAAAACAATAGAACCTCTGAAAATGACCAAGCTCTATTTCTCCTAATGTAATAAACCAATCAGATAATTTTTCTGTCTTTTTTCTGAAAAGTATACTGCTGTAGAATTATACAAACTTTTTATGATCTAGTATAATTCTAGTTCACAAAAAGTTTAAGCAATAAATAAATAAATAAAATAAAAAAACAAACGCAAATTAAAAATTATACCAAAATTCCTAGATGGCGAGAGAAGAGGCTTCTTAAAGCTCTAAATTTCGTCTTGAATTAACAAAAGTATTACACTGACTAAAGTGACTATGAGATTGAGAAAAAAAACTAAATAATTTATGTTCCAGGGAGTGATTTGGCGATTTTTTGAGTGATTTTCATTCAATTTAGAGTTTTTTTCAGACAAAAAAGGAATTTTACATCCACCTTATTTACCTATTATGGAGAATTATTTGAATGCATTTTTTTATTGCCACATTATTTTCTTTTTTAGTATTTTTTATTTTTTTTATTCAATGAAATGTGCTCTATTGAACCTAATAACCAATTTTTCTAAAATATTTGAAATGAATTAAAATAATTTTTTTTAGTGCAAAATTGCATATTTTATATGAGTATCTTTTTGAACTTCTTAAGATCAGATTATTACAATAAAAGTAAAAGAAAAACAGGATAGGTAGGATGTTGTGACAGATATTACAGCTATTAAACTGCCAACTATCCTGGATTTTAAAGCAGAGCTTAGTCTTATCTAACCTCATTTAAAACTATCAATTTCAACTTTCTTTCTTTTTTTCTCCAGTAATTTCGTATTTTTTATTCATTTATCCATATACTTTCAACTTTAAAAATAATACAAATATCTTATGAAATAATCTAAAATTACTTTTAATTAGTTAAATATCTAAAATTAATTAACAAATCTTATCCTATTAAAAAATATTATTAAATCGAAATGAATATGTATTACTATTGAAACTTGTGAGTTCAACTGTATAATAAACACAATAAAAACAAACATCAATTTCTCTTAATATCAATTATAAATGGAAAATATTGCATTCAATTTCCAATTTACAGTTACATTTCTGCAATTTTTTTTCACTTAATGTTAATCATAAATGCAAAATATTTCATTGAATTTAAATTTATAGTTTCTATTTCTGTGATTTTTTTCGTTTAATTCCATTCTGAAGTGAAAATTATTACAGTCAATTTAAATTTATAGTTATTTGTGTAACATAGTTTTTGCATTATTTTGACTGTAAAAATTCTTTCCTGTATCGAAACTGATTAGTATAATATGATATAGCTATGAAGAAATTTTTATTATTTTCTAAAATCTAATGGATTTTTTTCATCATATATTAACTAGCTACTATTTCCAGTAAAGGATGTTGATAAAATAAAAACTCTTGAAAAATTGTTCTAAAAATATGCAAAATTGACTTTTTAAATCATCAAAAATAATCTTAAAAGAAATAAAAAACGTCCTTAAAATTTTTCAAAAACATGTTTTATTATGCTCATTCATAAAAAAAAAATTACCAATCGTAACTTACATTTAAAAATTCAATAAAAAATAATGTAATAATTAAAAAATATATAATGAATAAACAAAATAATAAAATTAAATATAAAAAATACCTGATAAGAATAAGTAGGAATTCATTACTTTTTAATTACATTCTTCAAGAACAACATAATTGTAGTATATTATAAGATGTTTTTTGAAAATTTATTAAAAAAATAAAATTATCGAAAAACTAGAAAAAAAAAATATAAAGTGAAAAAAATCATCTGAAAGAAATTGAATAAAAAACAACGAAAAGTACATTTATCATCAACATTCAAGTACTGTTTATTTGAATTAAATTGTCTAGAATAAATTAAAAACTATAGTTTTAACTTTTTTGAATTGCTTGTTCCCCGGAATACATCTTACAAACACATTATATAATATAAATATAACGCACAAAGCATTTTATCTATATTTTATTTGTCTAACTTTCCCAAAATCTATCTTGGCGTGTTTATGTTACTGCATAAAAAACAACTTGACTCTATTTGCCAAACAGCAGACAAATTGATGTCGTTCCCAATCCAACAACCTCAACTTGGCTGTTGTTCTAGGAAGTAAATTTATGATCGAGGTCCCAGCCTTTGCACTTTGTCTCAGCGTTTGATAAATCAATTCGAAAGCGAAAATGATATAACCTGGCGAACAAAATGATTTCTTCGAAACTCGACCCAAGGTGTCAAAAGACGGGGGAGACAAAATTTCTCAAAATAATGTCCTCGGCGGAGTTGTTACCCATAAATAAAAAATGGCAAACGGAAGAAATAACGGGAGCACAAATAGCCCGTAAACTTGCTCTGTCACATTAAAAACTTCGCCAAATTTACGCCACTCTGGCGTAATTTGTCGGACGCTTCCAGAATTTGTAAAAGGCTATTCGAAGCGGGAGGGTGCAAATTGAGTTAGAGCTGGCAAGGAGGGGGTGGCAAATGCCTAGATTTATGAACGTAAAGTATGTTTTAAATGCCATGTTAAAAGGTAACAACGTAGGGAGAGCGACTCTTCCTGCTGTGAAAGGTTAAAGTGTCAGTGTAAGAAATTATCCACTAAGTAATCTGAGAATTTTTAACACATAGTATGTGATTATGAAGTCTTAATTTGGGAGGTAGTATTTGAGGTGGTATTCACGCGAGAACTATAAATTTCCAACTCTTCTCTTCGAAAGATTTATAGATCGCCTAAACTGATATTTAGTTTTTTTTCCTCTAACCGTGGCAATAAATTGAATTTATTGCTTAACAATTTCTGTTCATTTAATAAATGTTTTTCTAAAGATGTTTTATTTAGTACGATATTTCAATAATTTTTTATGCATGTAATTTTTTGTATTTCTTTTCAATCAAATTTATTTTGATTAAAATAGTTTTCACTTTTGTTAAGAATATTGTAACAAAACGACATTTTTTCATTACTTTAATTAACTAAGGTATGAAATAATAGTGCAAAGTAGCTGTGTTATAACCCATACTGCAATAACTGTGTAATGTGAAATTTACTGTGGAAAGTAACATTGTAATATTTATATTGCGCTCGCTTCAAACCTAAAATTTGGAGTGATAATTCTTTTTTTCATGCAATGTGCTCATGCAGTGTGACAATGCAACATTCACTTAATGTAATGTGAAATATAATTCATATGACATTAGGTGTATAGTATGAAATTTATTGAGTAAGTTATTTGAATTATATTTCATATTGCAGTAAGTGCAAATAATGAAATTTATGGTGCAAAGTAGTTAAATTATATTTTACACTACATCAAGTATGCATTATAAAACTTATAACGCAAAGAAATTGAATTATAATTTTTTCTACATCAAGTGTAATGTATAAAATTTATAGTGCAAATTAATCGAATTATAATTCACTATGCATCGAATGTATAGTATAAAACTTATCGATCAATGAAATAAATTTTGAATTCACTGCACGTCAAGTGTAAAGTATGAAATTTATGATGCAAAGTAATCGAACTATAATTCACACTGTATTGTATTAGGTGCAAAGTAAAAAAACTATTGTGTGAAATGTTTCAACTTTTTTTTCCATATCGTTTTAAGAGTAAAGTATGGGGCTGTTCTAATATACGTAAGCATAGAAAGGTAGAAGGGGGTGAATTTGCTTACTTTAACTGACAAAAAAGTGTTAGAGCAATACTATTTATTTATTTGATTTGTATTCTTTTAATTATTTGTATTAATTATTTTTAATCCTTTGATTTATTAATATTATTTTAGTTATTTACCTTCTTCTATTTAATTATTTTTGATTCTTAATACTCGTTTTCATCCAGTGCAACAAAAAATAGCGGTCGCTGCTTGATTCTTTCAAATAAGATTCTAAAAATAACCCTAAGCCTCTCTTCAAAACTGTTAAAACGTCAATTTTTACAGCGCCCTCTATCGCAAAACAAAGTAAGAAACACTGCAGAAATTGCAGTGAATATGAAGATACGGTGTTTTCCTTTTTGAGACAACTATTTATCTCGCTGGAGTTTAATAAATCGTGTTATCATCTTAAGCATTTTTCAAATTATGTATTAAATCAAATTGTTTATATAGTTACATAGTATGTTTATTGATTATAAATTATATTATATTATGTTT